GAACTCGAAAATAGTGGGTGGATGGATAGATTTGTTCCAGTAACCAAAAAAGAGAAAGCAGAGATTCTTGAAATTAGAGATCGGGAAGTTTGATGTTGATTCCCAGCAAAGTCCAGGAACAAATCATTAAAAATGTGGCTTGCCTATATTTAGGACAGAAAGTAGCAATTACTAGGAGCCTGCATGGATTCCTGGGAATTAAGTCATGCTAAAGCTAAATTATTCATATTCCCTCTCTCTCAAATCAGAGGATTACTGTAGATATAAAGTATTGAAACGTTTCTCGTAATATGTAAGTAGTTAATATTAACATGAGTTAGAGATATATGTGGTGGTTCATCCCCAAAGTATCAATTGATCTCAAGGATGTGTCTAGAAGTAGAGCTGTACCCTTGCCCTTTTCCTTTCAAGTTCATGGCTATAGATATAGAAAAGAAGTCTATAAAAATGTCATATATAAATATACATATATATTTATATACAATAGAATATAAATAATATAAAATTACATATAGCTTGGAGGGAGAGCTAAATATTTTTGAGGATGAAATCAGGACATGGAAAATTCCTGACAGGTTGGAGAGACTATGACAATAATATGTAATAAAACTGATTTAACACGGAAAGTTAAATCAGGTTCAAACAAAAATTAGCTCTACAAAAAAAGAAGGCAAGCTGGATTAAGAAGAATACAAACTTTTTAAAGTTGAAGAGTTGTAGTTAACCTAAGGCAATTCTTGGGCTGAATTAGTGGAGGACGATAGTGAAGAACAAGAGGAGATGTGCTCTTGCTGTACTCAGGCCATTACCTGGAATCCGGAGCCCAGTCCTGAGATCGTGGTACAAACTGAACATATTCAGAGCAGAGCAACCAGAGAGAGGAAGGGTCTGGAAATTGTATTTGTACTGCTACTTGAGGGCAGGAGCTGAGTCTTGTTCATTATTTTTTCTTTCTTCTTGTAACACTTAGCACAGTGTCTTGCACGTGATAGTGAATCTACTATAGACTTGAATTACTGCCATAACAGTCTCTGTTCATGAAAAGATCTCAGTAGAGGTTGTAAGAGATGTGGGTGTGGAGGGGACACCCAAACTCCGCTTTTGCTCTGCCATCAAGCAGAGTTCTTGGTCAGCTCTCCCTCTTTCCCAATCCCACACACATACCACCTCCTTAAAGCCGGTTTCCCAAGGTGTTGGGCCGTGAACCCCACACTGAGCAAGATGGTTTAAGGTATCACATAGACCCAGCATTAAATAACATAAATCTCAAAGTGGGATTTCTACTAATGTTTTAATTGATTTTCAAATCACTGATTACATATGGAAGAAAGACTCTGGTGTTGGTAAATTTTTAACAGCTTTCTTAATACTTGCTAATCTTCCCTTTTTAGGAAAGACAAGACAGGCCTAGGGAATATAGCCTTCAGCAAGTGTCTGGTTGGAAGTTTAAACATTGCTATGTTCTCACTGTACTTACTTTTAGGAATAATTTATGATAAGGCAACTGGTTTTCCATTTATGGTAATGATCTAAAGTTTCTGATGGGGAGAGAAATAAAATGTGAGAGTCTAAAAGTTCTTTAAAGTAAGAATATATTAGCAAAGCAACACAGGGCTGTGCCCAAAAGCAAAACTGAAAATAGGAAGAAAGGGAAAAACAGCAGACGAGTTCGGTGCACCACCAATCAGCATGACCATCACAGAACATGACCTTGATCACAGAAGCATAGTGTAATTCACACACTCTTTGAAGCAACAAACAATAGGGAAAACTAAGGAAGAACTGTGTGCTAAACAATGTCTCACAGGATGGTAAACATGTTACAATGACATGAAGCTGAAGAAACAGGAAATGCAACTTAATATAGCTCGGGGTAAGACTGTCTCTAGGGAAACTCTTGGCAGGAACATGGGTAGAGTAAGGAGAGGGAGTGAAAAAAGAAAAGAAAGGGGTTTGGTTTTGAAAAAAGAAAGAGCTTGGAAAGAACTCCAAGCCTGCATATTGGGGAACATGTAAGTTTTTCAGACACGATAATCTTCTACTAGCTCTGATTGACAGTGCAGAAAATAAAGCATGTATGTGAGTATTCTGAAAAATAATATAAATGAAGCCACTTTAAAAGGAGTTGGAATTGCCATCCCAAGAAATTGCCTTACATGTCTTACTCCTCAAACCTTGAGAATGTTAAAACTGGACAAAATAACCTTTAGACTGAGTCTACGTCAACATCGTACCCCAAATTGGAAACATAACAAGAAAGCAGACATTATGACTACCAGACTGAAAACTAAAGACATTCTTTAGAATTAGCATCATTATGTTAGCTTATCTGCATTTACAGAAATTCCTTCTTTCCATTCATGTAATTTTTCCCCTTCCCTTTCTCATAAATACCCCTTGCCTTCATCTCCTCATTGAAACACTATTTGGGTTTCTGCCTGAATCAGTGCTTCCTGAATAGCTATTCTTTTTCTCCAGTAAATGCTTGCTGCCTCTCACTTTGGCTTTTATTTTTAGGTTAACAGTATTCACATTGCATCACCAGTCCCTTCGGTTGCATTTGCACAGACTGGACAAAGGCCAAAACTCTTACTCTTGGTCATCTTGGTAACTTGGCCCAAACGGAGCAATTGCAGCCTGTTGCTTGTATCGGTTACCCTGCCTTTACTGTGGAGAATGAATCAGCAAGTCAGCAGTTTCCTTTCAGAGCACATTTATCTAGGTTTTAAAAAAAGTCTCGAACAGATATTTGCACACTCATATTCACAGAAGTGTCCATTAATGGATGAGTCAATAAACCAAATGTAGTTTATAAACACAATGGAATATTATTCAGCCTTTAAAAGGAAGGAAATTCTGATACATGCTACAACGTGGACGAACCTTGAAAACATTATGCCGAGTGAAACAAGCCAGTCACAAAGGGACAAACATTGTATGATTGTATGAGGTACGTAGGAGAGTGGAATGCAGAGAGACAGAATGTAGTAGAGTGGTTACCAGGGCCTGGGAGGAGGGCAAGTGGGGGGGTTTCTGTTTAATGGGCTCAGAGTTTCCGTTTGGGATTATGAAAAGAGTTCTGGAGATGGATGGTGATGATGGCTGCATAGCAATATGAATGTGCTTAATACTACTTAGTTGTACACTTCAAAATGGCTAAGATAGTAAATTTTATGTGTATTTTACCACTATTAAAATAATTAAACATAGCATCCTCAATCCTAGTGCTCTACCCAGAGAAAATCACTATCTTTATTCTTTAGTTATAAGGTCTTTTTTTATATATTTACATAAATATAACATTCTAATATAACAATATATGGTTTATTCTTTGATTAGTTTTGTTTTTCATATAAATACTATC